AAACATTTAGTGTTTTTTTAGCTGTTTCAGTTTTTCACAGAATATATTTGAACCTTTTTGCTTAATTCAGGCATTAAAATATTTAATAAAAAAATCATATGTACTCAATTAAATTGATTGAAATAAAAAAAAAAAAAAATCCAAATAAATGCAATGTTTGAATTATAAAAATTCAAATATTTAATAGTGTCGTTTTGTAAATTCTCTATGTAATTTCATCAAATTGAGAATGGAAATGAGGATTATGTCAAAGAGACAACAACCAGACCAAAGAGTAGACAACAGCCGAAGGCCACCAATGGGTCTTCAACGCAGCGAGAAAATCTCGCACCCGGATGTGGTCCTCAGCTGGCCCCTAAATAAAATTGTGTACTAGTTCAGTGAAAATGGACTTCACACTAAACTCCAAAACATATAAATGAACTAAAATAAAAAAAAACATACAAGACTAAGAAAGGCCAGAGGGAACCAGTACGTTAACAAATTAACATACCTATGAATATTAAATATCTCCCCAAAAGAGGCGTGGTATGAGAAACAGCTGTATTTACAAAGTGCAACCTATACAAACATTTATTCAAATAGAAAACTCTCTAAAAACACTTTTTCTCACAACAATACTTATTTATCAGAATTATAGCCTTAAAGAAATCACTGCATATACTCTAATTTTCCTTTTACAGTAAATTTTATATCCCTACCCCTGTTTCAATTTTTTAAAGATTTGAAAACAAGACTCTAATTATTGCTAGCTTACCCTATATGCATGTTATCTGACATGAACTGTCCAAAACCTGTTTGAAACTATTCTGATAACAAATTGAAAGCATTTTAGAATACTATAAATGTATTGTTTAGTAGTTAAGCATTCCAACATTCAAGATTATACAAAGTATCCAATCCTGCCTGTGTCTCCAGTCCACATCTTACTGTATGCCTATTTGTCAAAGAAAGTTCACAATTTCTGCCTCAAATGGTCAGTTTAGAATTCTTGTCACAACAGTATAATCCCTAACCATATATCTAACGTAAGTTAGTTAATATATGAACTAGAAGTGTTTAAACAAAGCCATATTTGCAAAAGTTGTATTTATGAAGATATCAGTCTGGTGCATAAATTCACTAAAAGTTTGATTGAAATGACTGCTTACATCTGATTTTTGCATAACTTCCTAGCACAGTTATTGTTTACCTTACCAAAGACATTTAAAATAAACAAATCATACCATTTACAAGTTAAATTATCTGTTTTATGACCCAGGGGGAGGCATTTTTCTCTGTTTTTTGCCCCTTGGGCCTCACATTTCCTAATTTTTTTCCCTGTTTCTAGCAATGTGGAATATTTACTACATATTTAGGATAGAACACACTATTGTAAGTTTTATTGAGGTCTTTTTGTAATTCTAGCTTGTACTTTTTTATGCCGCGGTCACAAAAAAGCACATTTAGGCATTACGGCTTAATTTTGGGTTATCGACAGGACAAAAACACCCCACCAAAAATATTTAGGAAGGATCAATGAGTTGCAATTACTGCGAAGAGTAAATATGATCACTTCTAAACAATTTAAATTACAAATAGGCATATATTATGAATTTATTTTGAATTCAGGGCTTTAAGTAAACCATGCATACTGTAAACTGTGAATTTATGCTGAGTCATCATATTTAAGGCCCCGGATTTTCTCAATCTTCATGAAATATTTATAAAACTTCATATTTGAGTTAAATTCTTTAAAATCTCCGAGATAAACCAGATTTTGTGAAATTCTGTATGTTCTATTTTTTGACCCTATATAGGTTGCAATTCTGTAAATACTGACAATGCAATTTCCCATAGGAACTCCCTTTGCGGCTAAAATTGTGACACTTTTACTATGAAGTTTCGTGAAAAATAATATCCCAGAACGGAAAGTTTATATGCACTACTATTTTATTCAAAGGTCAAAATATAGGGCTGTGCGGCATATTTTCAACATTTATATGCCCTGAACTTCTAAGAGTTTAAACTTATACTAAAATTCTATACTACACTTACCTCCATTTTTGGACCTCCTAAGAATTAAAATTTAACCGCTACCATGTTTTTCAATACTGGTTACATTCCCAAGTGATGTCTCTATGAGATGAAACACAGAGATCATCAATGGGAACCAGTACGTTAACAAATTAACATACCTATGAATATTAAATATCTCCCCAAAAGAGGCGTGGTTTGAGAAACAGCTGCATTTACAAAGTGCAACCTATAACATATCAATGCGGAATAAGAGTTTCAAATTGGTAAAAAATATGATTTGATATCCTTCATCGGTAGTTCTTTCGGGTAAGAATTACAACATAAGATACTTTGCTATATCTGACATTTCTTGATACAATAAAGATCTATTTATGTGTCATCTTTTCTGTGGATTAATTTTCCAGGAACCAAGATGAGATCCTTTATTCTTCTTACCCTGTTAGCCCTTATTGCTTGAGCCAATGCTGCAGGTCTTTATGGCGGTGGTGGAGGAGGCAGGGGAGGTGGAGGATACGAAGGTTAAGGAAGAGGCGGTGGTCGCGGTGGATTAGGGGGCGGTGTTGAATATGGTGGCGGCGGTTATGGCGGAGGACGCGGTTATGGAGCAAAGGTTATGGTGGAAGTGGCGGAGGAGGTGGACATAGTGGCGGCGGTTATAACGGAGGAAGAGGAGGTTATATTGGCAAAGGTTATGGTGGAGGCGGTTATGGTGGCAAAGGTTGTGCGGAAGAGGAAGTAGAGGCGGTTTTGGTGGTAGATCCTATGGAAAAGGATACTGAGTCCATCAATTAAAGACATATTAAAAATAGAACACAACTTTATTGTTCTCTTTGAATTACATATCTTTATTTATATTTACATAAACGAAGAGTATTTACGTCTATGACATGGAAAACCGATGACACAAACGTTTCTGAAATACATCTAGAGGTCAAATATAGACAAGTGTCTATTCAACAGGTCAAGCTCTAAATCGCCTCAAGTGCATGATGTCTTGATGAATGTACGATAGAAGTTTTCAATGTTGTAGCATGTGTTGGCATTTCTCTATATCAGTATCGTTAAATGTTGCAATATATAATGTATGCGATAATGATGGCAGGATTTTTTTCTTTCAATAATCAATTGCCTGTTAAATCTTATGCACTACCATATAATTTTGATTAAATTTCTTACTTTAATTTATTTTGAAATCAAGGTAGAAGAATTAAATGCTTAATCTTCTTGTTTCCAAAATAAAATTATGTACAATTGTAAACATTTTTCGCGTTCACTACGTGATAAGAAAGTTTGTATGTTGACATTTCTTTAAAGAGTATAAATGGTTTGTGTTCTTTGAATCTATAATTTTGGCAATCTAGCATGAAGTGCTTGCTGTTCTCAACCCGTCCACATATAGAGAGGTTGAAATGAACAATATTGTTTATGGAAAAGACGTTCACTTAACTTAAACCAGGAGTCTGGCATGAATTATCTGGACTTTTCTACAAGCAGTATCATAATATGAATGGGCTTTCTTAACATCACAATTAAAGTAATGTCTTGTGGTAGGTTGTTCCTTTCACGAAAAACAGACCAACGTAAAAAGGGAATTTTGATAAAAAGAAGTTCGACAATTGATGTTCAGAACATTGACTTAAATCTAGAAATTGAAAATGAGGGTCGGTTGTGATAAAAATTTACTACAAAAGGGATGATTTCAGCTTCCGAATTGGGATTTTTTGTTTCCATGTAGCAACATTACAGCAGCGGCTGCATATGGAGTATTTATCTCCCAGTTGGTATGATATTTCAGAGCATGCGTTTCCTATCATGATTTATTTGATTGCTGCTTACAATGAAGCTATTGAACCAAGGGTATCATGGGGTGAAGTTGAAATCATTCCTTCGAATGTTGTTCGGACGCCATCTTGAGTTGATTGACCGTTCCGTTATGGAATATCTATGTCACAGATGACCACGGACATGTTTCAATTGTTGTAACCACATTCCAGTCCCCTTTTTTCGATTGTGACATCTCCGGATGAGACTTATTACAAGATTTATACTTGCATGAACAACACCACACGTACTAAATATCGAGCATGAACTGCTTAATATCCTTGAGTTTTTGATGGAGTTCTTGTGGTTCAATCGTTAGTTTTTATGTAGTGTGTTGTGGACTTCTTATTTTCGTCGTTTTTCGTTTTTTTTGCCAAGGTTATGTAAGTTTTTTTCTGGACTTATTAGTTTTGAATGTCCCCTTGGAATCTTCCGCCTCTTTTTTTTTTAAATGCCATACCAGTACTATAGTCATAAACTTGGAAAAGATATCAAGGAACGAGACTGCAAATATAATCAGAGGTTTGATCATAAAACATTTCGTAGAATTTATAACTTTATTTCTAGATCTTCTTTTACTAACGGGTACCTAGTCAGTTTCACAATACAGACCTGATCTCGTTAGATTTAAGCGTGGATTTGCTTTATCAATAATATATTATTCAAGACTTTCATAACAGCCGTTTTGTCAAAAACTTACAAATTAGTAAATTAAAAATACTTAAAATTGACATCGGATAGCATTTACTTTTTGTGTTGTTCTTCTTTTGATCGTGGTTTTGTCTCACGCCCGTATCGATATTATCATGTTAGGTATCTTGGTGCCTTATGGCTCCTGTTAGAAAATCAGTATTTGTACTTTAATTCAATCCATTCGATTGATAGTTTATGTTTAACGCCACTTTCTCCCCTCTTAGCTATATCGTGGCGGTCAGTTTTATTAGTGGTGGAAGCCAGAGTGTCCGGAGAAAACCACCGGCCTTTGCCAGGAAAACTGGCAATCATAGTAAATTAAGATCGGTATCGAACGCACCTGCCACGTGCGGCCACCCCTACCGTAGACTGGCAGAAACTATTTTGGATCATATTGGCGAAAGCATTATCATATTATTACCTTTTCCCAACATAAACATTACTAAGTGGTATAACGAAAATGTTCATTGGTTGAAATAAATTTATTTATAATCAGCGTACTCGTCATTGTTCATTCTACAATATAAAAATGACAATTAGCTGTTCAGTTATCAGCGGTTACCATGGTTACGTCAACAGATTTTGTAAAATCTACTTTCAAATCGTTTATCGATTTAAATCACACATTCTATTTTTTGTGACACTATTTTCCCTTTTCTCTTCATTAATAGTATGTGCGATATGTGTATTACCATTACATACCTTAGTTCATTTCGCTAAAAAGAAACGCAATGATTGTGAACATAGCAGACAGTGATTTCTCCCAGAAAAGATTACTACTATTTTTAGTAAACACTGATGGAGAGGATTGAGGGCTCACACACAAGTCTTACCACTCTACATTCTTTATATGCCTGTCCCTCAGGAGCCAGTAGTCCATTTGCTGTCGTTGGTAACTGTCTGCCATAATTGTTTTTCGCTTATTGTTTTGAGCATATTAAATCAGCGGTTTCGTTCCCCTTTTTGTTAACATTTTGTCATCCTGAGTCGTAACTATACAATATGGGTTTTGCTCATTGTTAAAAGCTTTACAGTGACCGGCAGATATTCACATTCTTGTCCTTTTGTTTTCAATCTATAGTTGTCTCGTTGGCAATAATACCATATCTCCTTATATAAATGGAGTTCAGGATAGATTTGCCTGTAACTGGATTTGACGAAGAAAACTCATTATTTTTTTTTTCGCTACATATTGTTGCTGAGCGTTATTACTTATGTTCATCAACTAAATTACTTGCCTCATTTAAGTAGTCCCTTATTTTTTGTACTCATAATCGTCCCCCGCCTCCAGTACAATCTTTGTCGGTGTGTAAGGATCTGCATGATCTAAATAAAAAACAATCAATTATTCAATGTATACCTTAAGCAACCATAATTGTAAGTCATTATTTATTATCATAAATATAGTCCATTTTGCATACTCAACATGGAAAGTTCAATTTAATTAAGGCAAGCTTAAATTAAAAAATAAAAAAAACAAAAAAACAAAAAAACAAAAAAACGGAATAAAAACATTATTCAAAAACAATACCATTACAAAAAGACATATTTGACTTTAAAATTACCTAAAATTATGTTTTTTTTTCATCTTTTTTGTTTCTGATTATTCTAAAATAACCTTTACACTGATTCTGATCCGTTACAATCAAAGATATTTACCTCCAGGGTAGTCAATAAAGAGATGTTGTTTCCTCAAGTTTGCAAAACAGGTACTCCTGCTATGATACTGAGACCAGCAATCACTCCAAAGACTGTAGAATTGCTTACTTTCACATTTCAGCGTGTATGCTACAAATACATTAAATATTTGCATTTGAATGAATCACATAGTAATTGTAAGAATTAATACACTAACTCAAAGTCAAACATACCACAGTTCATGCTTTAGGTGCACTTTGTCCACAGTTATGTGTTTCTTGTATGTCCGCTTTTTTGATGATCTGAGATTAAAAAAAAACCCAAACATTTCTGAAACCTTTTAAAAACGAAAAGAAAGGATTTTAAGGGACATTTTAATTTTAATCATTTATAGAAATAAGAAGATATGGAATGAGTGCCAATGAGACAACTCTCCATCCAAGTCACAATGTGTTAAAAGTAAACAACTATAGGTAAAAGTACGGCCTTCAACACGGAGCCTTGGCTCACACCGAATATGTATATCTTATAGGTTTCATGTTAAAAATGGCATCAAATTTTAGTTTTGAAAAATCATGACTCTACACAAATGAAAAATAGACATGCCAATATTCAAATAAAAACCTTCAGAAACCCTACAAACTAAGTCAAATGATGTAAAACTATACACGGACTGATATTACTGCAATGAACCTCAGATATTTTGAAAATGAAAGGAAATGGACCTTCAACCGGCATGACTATCTTCACTGTTACATTTTTTACCTCCGTAGTACAGATAATCCTCGACCTATCTTCTAGAGATCTTTAGACTCCTAAATTTATTTTATAAATGTAATCTGTGCTGTAAATACAAAGATACTGATATTCATCATTTGATTTTTGATAAATCATTTTTTTTAGAGATAATTTATTTAATCATTACTTTTGCATATTTTTTGGAAATATTTTGCACCCACAAGCACACAAAAGGTAAGACTTTGTATCTATGCATAAATGTCAAGCCGTCAATGAAGATTTCATGGCAAAATTGGATCTCAAAGTTCCGCCGAATATTCCATCTCAAAGTCCACATTGAAAAAATGGCTTCATCGGTTAATAATGACGTCGTAGGAAGGCGTAACAGTAAAATATTAAAATAGCCTTTCAAGACGTCAATTATTTGGACTACTGCAAGACCACAAAGCACTGACGCCACCGATGGAATTTAAATAATTCCAATATAATATGCATACGAATAAAAGAGAATCAATCACGAAGCTGATGGTACATGACATTTAAATGGCAACGCAAATGAAACTATTATAGTGTTTACTTTTTATTATCTGTTTTAGAATAAAGTGTTTTCCCTTGAATCTTGCCGGTATTTATATACGCTAGTATTATTAAAAAAGTTATAAAGCCTGGAATTTGACAAAAAAGTTTATGTGGTAATTTTACATAGCATTTCCATCCAATTTGATAATTTGCAAAATCTCAAAATAAGAATATGTATGATTGTCAATGAGACAACCTTCCATCTGGAAGAATATATACTATTCCCAGCTTTCACCAGTGCAGAGACCAAATTTGTTGAGGTTTGCAATATAGTTCACGGTATGGCCTTCAACACAGAGAACACAGAGCAATATCCACATGTTTATATATATATATATATAAGTCTATAAAAAGGACCAACCAGCAAATTTAATATGTACCGGATCGTCTAGAATAGACGATACTGCGCAGATAAGGGAAAAATTATAAAAGTCTAAAGATTTGCGCAACGGTACTATTATAAGATGGTAATATACGAAGATGATGTTATAAAATCGTGTTATAAAATATTTTGGGGGAACAAATAGTCTTCGTTAGTGTCAATTATATATATATTTATACTATTCAAATGCATCACATCAGATGTTATAAACTAACTAAACAAAAGGAACATATCAATACATTCCACTTGTTGTCTTAGTCATTTCTTTGCTGTAGAATTTAATACCAATCAAATCTTTTGTATATATATATATCTATATATACAAAAGATTTGATTGGTATTAAATTCTACAGCAAAGAAATGACTAAGACAACAAGTGGAATGTATTGATATGTTCCTTTTGTTTAGTTAGTTTATAACATCTGATGTGATGCATTTGAATAGTATAAATTGATGTGGTTTTTGAAGGATAGTCCTTTATCAATTTTCAGCTTGTCGTATACAAACATATGTATGGTTGTATATAAAAGCTTTGAACATGCATGTATGCTTTGCATATACATATATGTTAATTTGAATTACATACAATGCATCAATTATAACTTACATCAAACATTGAAATCTGCCTGTTCAAAGCTGTTGCACTTTTTTCATGTTCAGCAGGATCATATTTATGTGATCAGACTACAGGAAGTTGTAGGTTTTTGCTTCAAGTAAAACCATTTCATAGTTGTTTATGATTTTGTATAGGAAATGTTGTGAAAAGATAAACAGGTTATGGGAGAACAAATAGAGAAGAGGGTTGTATAAGATCTAGGATATGAGATGTATAAAACATCAAGCATCAAAACTATGTTAAGATTCTGATCGCTCGCCTGCATAAAATTCTTTTCATAGATTTGTTTTAAATATATCAAAAATTATAGCGCTCGGTAGTAAAAAATTCTTTCGCCTGCCAAAAATTAAACTTCGAAAAAAAAAAAAAAAATAAAAACATTTCGCTCGCTCCAAAGATTGACTAGATTAATTTGGTGTGGCCTTATGCATGTTTTCATGGTTTTAAAACATTATTTTTACTTAAAAGTTATCTTTATCTTACCTTTTCCACCATATGAAAATCTGTCATGATCAATTCTGAATCCATGGTACTTTTTGTAGTAATCAAGGTAGGTAACTACGTGTCCTTGGTCATAACCATAATCAACCATGCTATGATGTTTACTTAAATAATATTCATGTTTCTTATGGAGGTGTTCCTTTTTTGCCAGATGTCGTTTTTTCTGATATTCACTTTCACTCAAATGTCTTTTATGTTGATAATCAACTGCAGACAGATGATGTTTTGCCTGTTTGTGAAGTCTGTTGATATGATGATTTACCAGTTGTCTGAACTTATTAATGTGTTTGTTAGCCTCGTCTGAAATTCTGCTCACGTGTTTGTTAGCCTCGTATTGGATGTTTCGCACGTGTATGTTGGATAGGTGAGATATTGCAGATACATGACTGTTGGCTGTATGATGGATTCGTTGAACATGGTGAGTGTCTATCTTCTTGTGCAAGTTTAAATGTTTGTAGATGTTATTTTGTCCATGATATCCTTGACCATGTCCATATCCAGCACCATGAGATGTGTATCCGTGATGACCTATTTGAATTGACGATAAATAAGTCATCAAAGATAGAACAAACTTGCATCATTTTCAAAAACAGAGAGCAGTCTGATTTGATGGGAAAACATGACCGTCACTTTTTTGTTTAAACAGGCCTGATGGAAAACAATATTATCAAACAGGCATATATTAAATTTAAAAAATGAAATTGCATGGAATCAAAACGGATTGTGACCAGGTAGATGAACAGTGAAATCATCTATGCATTATTTCGATTGTGAATCCACAATCAGAAACGGCAGCCGTCTTCTAAAAAATGCTTGGTACAAATCTGATTTCTTGTATATATAAAGATATAATGAAAAATCGTGATTTTAAAACTAGAGCTAACTATTACAACTCACCTGCAGTGTATGCGATAACCGTTAAGCTTTTTTACTCTTGGTCGGTGTAGTCCAAACGGATTTACGAGTTTCGAACATCAGTTAACCACTAATGGCTCTTATTGTCATCTTTATATGTGTAAAACATGCATAAACAAAGATTCAATCAGATACAAAAAAACTGTTACCTGCTCCATAAGTGACAAAGAGATGTTGTTTTCTTAAAAATCCAAAACAGTAACTTCTACTATGATGGTGAGTAAAACAATCGTTCCACAATTTAAAGAATCGCTTTCTATGACATGTCAGTTTAAATGCTGTAATAGAAAACATGTTCTACTAATGCATCGCATGGGATATGATGTTTCCATGGTAAACAAAGGATCAATACGGCACTAATAGTTAAAAACTCAACATCAAAGAAAATATAAATAATTCCTCAGGCTCGAATGCTTGAAAATATATGTAAATGAATTAATATTTCTATTGGAAAAAACTGCCAATGTCTATGCTTAGGTATATTTTCTGTACATATATATGTATATATGATTAAACAAATATAAAAACACCGCAGCATAAATACGGTAAATATATATATATTTACCGTATTCATGCTGAGGTGTTTTTATATTTGTTTAATTGAGTTGGTTTTATTTATGTTTTTAAAGAAGTCAACTTTATACCTGCAACATAAGATACGTACCTTTACCTCCATAGGAAAATCTGTGATGCTGGATTCTAAATTTGTGATATTTTTTATAATAACTATAGTTAGAAACACCGTGTATAAGTCCGTGACTGTAACCGTCACCATGTCCGTGTCTATAACCGTGACCATGTCCGTGACTGTGGAATTTGTAGTATTTTCTTGATTCATAATGTCCACCATGGGTATGACCTATTTCATTAATTTTAAAAACACAGAAATAGGTTGTTATATAAATCTTTTCTAATTTTCCAAGTAAGGTCAGCATTTTAATTTTGAAATAATGATTTACAAATAATGAAAATAGCTACCAACAGAATCATATCACCATACATATATACTCATGGAAAAAAAGAAACGTTGTAGAGAACAATAAATGCACGAAATCAAATCTGCAACTCATTATTTCATTATTTACAATTTCATAAAAATTAGTAAAATTGGCGTCCATGAAGTTAATTGCACGTAAATTTGTTTTTAAGTGTCAACAAAATCTGTCTTTTGACCAAATAGCCGGAAAATATTAATTTCCTGCAAGTAGTCTCGATCTGTGAGAATGTATATTTGGCTTTCAATCAGAAAGACATTTACTGTGTTGGTCAAACAGAAGAATAACTATTCAATTGTTGCACTTCAGTATGTCAATATCATTAAATTAGTTGAAAATACCAGCAAGGGAGGGCATAAGACTAGTTTGGTGCCTGACAACGTTATCCAATGCTATTAATATAAGATAACCCCTTAATTAACTCTAATGTTAATTGTTCATCCCTCAAGTTTAGTGAATGACGTCCTTAAGGGCATACGATACAGTTTTGATCCCGCGGTGATTTTTTTACGAAAATTTACATACAAGCTATTTTTTACCTAGAAAATTCATAAAAAATGTAATAAAAAATATACCTGCATGTACTTAATTTAGAGATAAATGGAGTCAAAATTTTGGACATTTACTTAAAATTTCGGTTTCTTGGACATTTCTGGTACCTTTTGTTAGCTATTATTCGTATGTTTCTCTGTCATATATGTTCTCCCATTTATTTGTATTGTAGTCCTGTCATGTAATGTTGTCATTTTAATGTTATATTTAACATTGCCATAAAAGCGGGAGGTTTGGCTAGGCACAAAACCAGGTTCAACCCACCATTTTTTTCTTAAAATGTCATGTACCAAGGCAGGAAAATGGCCATTGTTATATTATAGTTCGTTTCAGTGTGTGTTACATTTTAATGTTGTGTTTCTGTTGTGTCGTAGTTCTCCTCTTATATTTGACGCGTTTCCCTCAGTTTTAGTTTGTAACCCGGATTTGTTTTTTTCTCAATCGATTTATGAATTTCAAACAGCGATATACTACTGTTGCCTTTATCTATCCTTTGGAAAGACATACTTAACTTTTTTGCTTCAAAAGATAAATACATGAGGATTTTTGTAAAAAGATTTGGAAGTTCTTCGTTGCAGGAAGTTCGCTCTTAATTTGTGTAATAATTCTTTGTTAACAGTTAATTTTTATTAAATTTTCATGATTTTAGAAAAAAACGGCATTGTTTATGTATATTTATCTAACTTAAAAATATTTCATCGGTGATTTCTTCATAAAAATTGAAACAAATACCGCATCAAGTCAAATGTCATTTTAAAAAAAGAGGGGTCCATGTACTCGTTTTCAAGCTAATGATTAAAATCCCTCGAAAAATGCATCTTTTCCCGATATGTTGCAGTTTGACGTCGCGAATAATAACATTTTACGTAAGCAACGTCATTATCTCCCCTGAAACTGTAACGTATGCCCTTAACGTTGGAAAACTCTAACAGCCAGTGTCATTACTGAATTTAGAAGAAGTGGGAGTGGTTGAAGCACCATTTACACTATGGTGGGATTATATATTACTAACACTCCCTTCTTTTACTGATTGGTTTTGGCAATTAATAGATTTAACCATGTGATCAATATGATTAAAATACAGATCCTATGCTCAAGCTTTGCTTACAAGGATCTGAAAACCCCCTTTTCTACATTTTGTTCTAAAGAACTTTCGGTATCCTCTGGTTTTGAAGGATTTATACACGCCTTCAAAAATTCGAAGGCTAAAATTTCATTGGCTGGTGAAATTACCAGCTGAACAGAAAGAAAAACGGAGAGTTTTCAGATCCCTGTAAGCGAAGCTTAGATATAGTCAGATTGCCATGTGATGAAATTTGTAATTATGCATTCAGGCATGTGAAAGTTATTGCGCATCACGTCAAATATAGTTAGTGGTAGTGAAGTGTTTACCGACTATCATGGTGATTTGTGTGTCCAGCCATGTGGTTATAACTATCATTTTTTTTAATTTATAAACTATATTATAATTTTATTCAATCATCAAGGTCTTCAACGTTTATTTTTTCCAAGATCATATCTGTGGTATGGTTTTCTTGACTGTAGACTATATTTAATCTGAATCTAAATGATCATATATATGGAAAATAATACATTCTTAACACTTTTAAGCAACTGCTGTTAAAATTTATCATTTGTTTGGTTGTAATTACCGTTGTAAACAGCAAAAATGTGTTGTTTTCTGAATCGTTCAAAACATCTACCTCTGCTATGGTATTTAATGTAACAACTTTTCAATAGTCGATAAAAACGCATTTTGCCACAGTTTAATTTATATCCTAAAATGAATAATAGTTTTCGTTTTTTATGTGTGTTAGTTTTATTGATAAAGCATCAATAAAACTGAACCTCTAAAATGAAAAAAAGAGAATATTTCTAGAGGCAATCAAAAACCATAAGTCGAATAAATGCATGTAACATCAGTGTCAAAGACAAAAAACGAAAAGACGAATAAATTCATGTAACGTCTGTGTCAATGAAAAAAACGAAAAGACGAATAAATCCATGTAACATCACTTTCAAGACACTAAACGAAAATACGAATGAATACATATAAAGTCAGTGTCAAAGACATAAAACGAAAATTCTTCATTCTAATGCAATTATTTTGTATCAATGGTTCTGATTGGATGACAGTAAACGTAAAATTCTCTATCTCCTTGTCTGTAACTAAGGAAGCCAGAAAACGCCCGGTGTTTACGTTTGACGCTGGAAGCATACCTATGACGTCACCTAGTTTTGGGGCCAAAGAACATAACATCTTTTCGCGGAATTTTCTTTAATGAGAATTTTACACTGAAATAATGATTGAAATGAATTATGTACTTGTTTTGCACTAAAATAGAGATAGCTGTATTGTATTTGAAGCTTTGCGGACGTCCTTCGGTAGTTTTACTGTCGCAAATACCCGTTTACCTGTCTCTTAATAACACTGAAATAATGATTGAAATTGAATTATGTACTTGTTTTGCATTATAGTAGAGATAACTGTATTGTATTTGAAGCTTTGCGGACGTCCATCGGTAGTTTTACTGTCGCAAATACCCGTTTACCTGTCTCCGCTACGCGTCGCCAGGTAAACTAAATTAGCGACAGTAAAACTACCGATGGACGTCCGCAAAGCTTCAAATACAATACAGTTATCTCTTAATTCTAATGCAATTATATGGTATCAATGGTTCTGATTGGATGACAGTGAGCGTAAATTCTCTATCTCCTTGTCTGTAACTAAGGAAGCAGACATTTTGAATTGCGGAATGTATTTACATGCAATTTTTACAATAATAAGCAAAATAACTCACGTGTTGCACATAGAAACCTTCTTTATATCAAATTTTATTACATTCTGAAGCGGTCTAGAAGCCAGAAAACGCCCGGTGTTTACGTTTGACGCCGGAAGCATACATATGACGTCACCTAGTTTAGGGGCCAAAGAAGATAACATCTTTTCGCGGAATTTTCACAGTTATCTCTTAATTCTAATGCAATTATTTTGTATCAATGGTTCTGATTGGATGACAGTAAGCGTAAAATTCTCTATCTCCTTGTCTGTAACAAAGGAAGCCGACATTTTGAATTGCGGATTTGATTGACATTCTACAATAATAAGCAAAAAAATCATATGTTGAACCTATAAATCTTCTTTTTATCAAATTTTATTACATTCTGAAGCGGTCAAAAAGCCAGAAAACGCCCGGTGTTTACGTTTGACGCCGGAAGCATACCTATGATGTCACCTAGTTTAGGGGCCAAAGAAAGATAACATCTTTTCGCGGAATTTTCTTTAATGAAAAGTTTACACTGAAATAATGATTGAAATTGAATTATGTACTTGTTTTGCATTAGAATAGACGAATTAAGAGATAAGAAGATGTGGTATTAAGTTATCTCTTAATTCTAATGCAATTATTTTGTATCAGTTGTTCTGATTGGATGACAGTAAACGTAAAATTCTCTGTCTCCTTGTCTGTTACTAAGGAAGCCGACATTTTGAATTGCGGAATGTATTGACATGTAACTATTCTTTCAGATAAGGATGAAGGTTTGGTACCATTAAAACTTTAAAACCAAACTTGTCTAAATATGACTTGGATGGAGAGATGTCTCATTGGCACTTATAGCACATCTTCTTACATCTATATAACATCACTGTAAAAGACAAAAAACGAAAAGACGAATAAATACATATGACATCACTGTCAAAGACAAAAAACGTAAAAGACGAATAAATACATATAACATCACTGTCAAAGACAAAAAACGAAAAGACGAATAAATACATATAACATCACTGTCAAAGACCGTTATCTCTATTCTAATGCAAAACAAGTACATAATTCAATTTCAATCATTATTTCAGTGTAAAATTTTCATTAAATACAACGCGAAACGATGTTATCTTCTTTGGCCCCTTAACTAGGTGACGCCATAGGTATGCTTCCGTCGTCAAACGTAAACACCGGGCGTTTTCTGACTTCTTGACCGCTTAAGAATGTAATAAAATTTGATAAAAAGAAGATTTCTAGGTGCAACGTGTGAGTGTTTTGCTTATTATTGTAGAAATTACATGCCAATACAGATATTTTATAGTGTGTCTTTCTATGTTGTGATGTTACACTATTCTTTCAGATAAGGGTGAAGGTTTGGTACCATTAAAACGTTTAAACCCGACTTGTCTAAACATGACTTGGATGGAGAGTTGTCTCATTGGCACTCATACCACATCTTCTTATATCTATATAACATCACTGTTAAAGACAAAAAACGAAAAGACGAATAAATACATATAACATCACTGTCAAGACAAAAAACG